GTATTCCTCTAGAGGACTGTTGGTACTTCATAGGGATATATTATTTTGGTTTTCATGTTATTTTTTTTCTGTGACTTTGACATGTAGATTTCTTTTGTAGTTCTTGATTCTTATGTGAGACTCAAGCCTTCCTTTGCTGAGTTTAGATCTGCTTCTTTTTTAAACTTTCTGTGCCTTTGTGGTTTACTTGTTGGCCATGAAAAGCTGGTTGGTCTAGGCTTCAGGTTCTCTCTTTTGATTTTATATTGGAGTGACCAAATTGCTTTTGTCTTGCTGCTCAGGAGTTCCCACAGAGGTCCAAGTCAGATGAAGATCAGATGCTCTCAGTCTTTCTCCCAAGGTCTGGATCACTCAAGGAAAGATGCTGGCCTCAGAAATTTGAAGACTTGGCTGACCTGGGAGCAGGGCCTAGGAAAGATGCTGGCCCCAGAAAGCTGGTGGCTGTGCTGCCCAGGAATGCAAAGGGAGGTGAGGATGAGAAGAAGCCTGCGGGCTCCTGGGGACTACAGGGAGGAATTGGGTTGGTTTTGATCCAAAGGATCAGGAAGCAATGGCGATTCTGGGCTAAGAGGTCAGTCCAGGAGTCTGGGTTGCCAAGACAAGAAATGGGCCAGTAACCATGCTAGGAGGAGAGCTGGGTGTGGGAGCTGGGAGGGTGAATGAGGCTGGGGGAGTCAAGTCACAATGAGCATAGCCAAACATACCCAGGAAAGCTGATGGCTCCAGAAAGCTGTGGAGCTGGGCCGCCCAGAGATGCAAAGGGAGGTGGGGACCAGAAGAGTCTCTGAGGGCTCCTGGGGACTAGAGGGAGGAATTGGGTTGTTCTGGATACAAAGGATCAGGAAGCCGTAGAGAGTTTGGGCCGAGAGGTTGGTCCAGAGGTCTGGGGTGCCAAGACAGGAAATGGGCCAATCCCCCTGCTAGGAGGAGAGGTGGGGTGGGGGAGCTGGGAGGGTGAATCTGTTTTTAGTTTTTTAGGAACCTTCATCATGTTTCCCTACCTACTCCACCATTTCACACTCCAGCTTCCGGCTTCTCCACGTCTTTCTCAACTTCTTTATTCTTGGTTTTCTGATAGTAGATAGGCACACTGTTTCAACATTGCATTTATACTAAGGTCAAACAATGTAAAGTTTAGTGAAATCTTACACAATAAAGGCAAGATGCATGCTGTGCATAATAAACTAGGAACAAATGGAAACTGTCTCTCCTCTGTACAGAGTTCAGCTAGTCACTACCAACAATTACAGGTGTGGCTCACTCATCTCTAAATTTCTGTGTTTTATTACCTGTCCTTGTTTGATTTCTCATGCTGTGATGAACACCATGACCAAAAGCAAGTTGAGGGAAGAAAGGTTTATTTAACCTTACATTTTCTAGTCATCATCAAGGGAAGCTAGGGCAAGGAGCTCAAGGCAGGAACCTGGAGTCAGGAACTGCAGCAGAGACCGTGGACGTGTGCTGTTTCTGGCTTGATCCCCTGTCCTGCTCAGCTGCTTTTCTTATGCAACCCAGGCCCACATGACCAGGGATGGTACTACTGATGGTGGACTGGATCTTCCTATGCCAATCAGCAATCAAGAAAATGCCCCACAAACATGCCTGCATGCCAGTCTGATGGAGGAAGTTCCTCAGTTGAGGTTCCACCTTCACAAGTGAGTCAGATTTGAGTTATATTTACAAAAACGAACAACTGAAAACCAGAACACTGCCAAATTAGTTGCCTTTAGAGGAATACTCATTCACATTAAGAAAACAGTCACCCAGACTAGATCTTCTAGTGTCAACTTCATGAATCTTGAAGTGATTCCTTCTCTTGAGGTTGCCTTTGCACAAACTGGCTCTGCTGCAAGTTATGGCTTAAAAGAAAATGGAACTTTCCTAATTTCCTTTTCCCTATACACACAAGTCCACAGGCCCACTGCTGATATTTCTGATTTGGGGGGAGTGGATTTTTGTTTCAACGTGAATGCCAGTCAAGGACTTTCTTTTCCCCCTACAGATAAGAGTTATGAAATGTGGGAGTCTTTTAGATAGACCCACTGAAGGGGTACCCAATTGCCTCACCTTGAGTCCCTGTTAAGCATGAAAGAAGCCAGAGAGGTCTGAATCCAGATTCCATATTGGCAATTTAGGTAACCTCTTCAGAGGCTGGTATGATAAGAATAGGAGGTAGGAATTGGGTAGGCAGTTAGGGTAAAAAGGCCCCCAAAGAAATGTAGCCAGTTTCTTGGCTAAAGGTCATAATATTTGGGCCTCTTAGGGAACATACTTTGTTCCAAAGGCCAAAAATGTCCAAAGTATTTGGGAGCTTTTATCTAATCCTTAAAAGATTTTAGGGTTACCTCTTCGGGGGGGGATGTTAGAGTAGCAAAAAGCCCCATAAAATTAAAAAAAAGAAAAAATAAATAAAGTCTAATAACCAAAACAATGATTGTCAGCAAACTACATTGGAGCAGTGGTGGCATTTGTATCTCGGGGGTAATCAAAAGCAACCTAATTGAACTTAAAGCCCACTCGATGGGAGGGAACTCATGGGTGGCACTGTAAACATAGCCAAATACATATGGCTGATGTCTTAGATCTTAGGGAAAACCCTAAGGCTGCCACATCCCTTGACAAATATAATTTCTTACTATATGCTAAATAGGATCCCTATAAACACAGACAGGTATGCTAGCCATCACTCATCAAAGAAGCTTCTTTTGCAACAGACAGACTACTACAGAGTAGTGGAACAAGGGGGAGAATCCTAATGCATCTCTTAACTCTCAAAGCTTCTTCATGCAGAGGGCAATGATCTTATTTAAGGGAGAGGTTCTAGATAGGTTGACTAGACCTGAACTTGTACTGAAGGACATTTAAGTGCACTAACTTGACTAGATAGGCCTTAATATATATGACAGAATGGATGAAATCTGGTGGGAGAGCTATATAGGAGGGGGGAGGGGTATAAAGATGACTTAGGTGTTTTGCATGAAATGCACAAAAATTCGATAAAAATACACATTAAAAACAATAAAAAGTACAGTAAGTCTGATAGTCACTGTAGCCCACATGGATTAAGGGATCTCCTCCTTGAGGTTCAAAGGATTCATAGCTCATTTGCTAATGTCATTTAACTGGGGAAGGATCTAGCATCAATCAGGTCCTTACTCTATTATGTAAGAAATGTGTTCTATGCCTCACCGCATCATCAGACCTCGGCATCCCTTCATGACCAGCTACAGACTTCTCAATGGAAACAGTAATAGTGTGTGCTGAGTGTAAATAAACTTTCAAATTAGGCTTGCATAATTTAGTAAAAGAAAATAGCTGGTGCATTAAAAAGAAAGAAAAGAAAAGTTTTCAAAAAGGAATTCCATGAGGAATTCCCCCACACACAAATTGCATATTCATGAGAAGTGTGTATATGTGTGTAAGTGTATGTCTGCATTGTATGAGTGTATGTATATGTGTGGCTGTGTGTTTGTGTTTACTTTCCAAGGCAATACACAAAACCACTTAACAGCATTTATTTTAATTCTCCCAAACTAAAAACAAGCTATGCATTAGGGGAAAAAGAACAAATTGTGGCAACTTCATTCAGTGACAAATTGTATGGAAATGAGAACAGGCAACTGAATGTGACTATCCTGAGGACCTATAGGTGTTGCCTAGACAAACAGAACCAATTCTAATTATGAAAGAAACCTTATGTGTCCTCCAGAATTAGAGGAATAAGCCAGGGACGTACCCAAAAATTCCCTTCGTGATGAGATGACTAACAGATAAGGTTTGTAGGAGATGGGATTAAATCCCCTTCTTATAGTGCTAACAGTGGGCATGGATGTGCTGACTTTGTGGAATTCTCCTAACTTGGATATGGATAATCATAATCCCCTCAAACGAATTAAAAAATTTTTAAATTTTAGACATCCAGATAAATCAGTTATCATCTCAACTAATATTTTTTGAGACAGGGTCTCAGTATGTATCCCTGACTGGCCTGGAATTCACTGTGTAGTCCAGGCTAGGCTCAAACGTGCAGAAATCCAGCTGTGTCTGCTTTCCAAGGCATTGAAGGCATGGGCCACCATGTCTACCTCCACCAATGTAAATTCAGTCACTGAATAGAAAAATAAAGGAAAAGAAGCATGAACGAGAATGGAGGATAAAGAACAAAATAGAGACAGAAATAGAAGTAAAGAAGACAGACAGACAGAGGGAGACAGGAAACATCACTGACTCTGGAGCCACCAGGTGAGCAATGAAGTCACCTGCTCAGCCTGGCTTGTCTGCATCTAAGGCAGTTACAGCAGACTGTGCAGCATGCCCTGGTGACCCCTCAGGGGAAAAGAAGTCAGGAACAAAGGTCATCCAGAGATCCAGACCTTCTTACACTTATGGACTCCCAATGCATCTATCTACCTGCCCTGGTTCTCCTGTGCTGTGAAGCACATTGTAGCGGACATCTCATTCCAAACACCGTGAACACATGTATTCAGGATGTACAAGTGGAGCAGCTGGTTATACACAGAGAGGGCTGAACTATACCGGATTCAGGCTGTTGTGAGTAACCAGACAAGGAATAAAGCATTTGTTTCATGACTGTGAGCACAGATAATCATGTCCTACTCTACAGTCATTTACTAATCTAAGGATAGAAAAAGAAGAAAAGCTATAGGAGAAAACTATGTTGACCTTCCCAGAATAGCAGTATCTGCTACTTTACTGGATGATGGTCTGAGTGGCAGTGAAGATGTGATTCTCCTGTATGTCCCTGAAAATTTCTCCAAAATAAGAGCCAGACAAAACACTTCCAAAACATTCCTATTGGGTAAGAACTTCTTCCTTGATGAACACAAATTGAATATGGAAAACAATGCAAATGAAAAGGAAGTCTTTCTGATTGGCTCAAATCTTAAAGGCCTGATGTATAAAAGGCCTGGAATGGACACACTCACTATATTCTAGAAAACTCCTTTGTGAGCAGGACCCCGCCCTCCACACCTGACACCATGACCACCTCCTGCTGCTCCCCTTGCTGCCAGCCCACCTGCTGCAGGACCACCTGCTGCAGAACCACCTGCTGGAAGCCAACCTGTGTGACCAGCTGCTGCCAGCCCAGCTGTTGTGTGTCCAGCTGCTGCCAGCCCAGCTGCTGCAGAACCACCTGCTGGAAGCCAACCTGTGTGACCAGCTGCTGCCATCCCTGCTGTCCCGCAAGTTGCTGCTGTACACCCTGCTCTGAACCCTGCTACTCTGCATCCAGCTGCTGCCCATCTTCCTGCACTTCCAGGTGCTGTAGTACACCCTGCTGCCAGGCCAGCTGCTACCAGCCCTGCTGCCAACCAAGTTGTAAAACCACCTGCTGCACAACCACCAGCTGTAAACCAACTTGTGAGACTAACTTGTGCTGCCCACCCTGCTGTCCCCCAAGTTGCTGCTGCACACCCTGCTGTGAACCCTGCTGCTGCCAGCCAATTTGTTGTAAAACTACCTGCTGCAAGACCACCTGCCTTAAACCAACTTGTGTGACCAGTTGCTGCTGCACACCTTGCTGCCAGCCCTGCTGCTGCTGATCAGCTCCCCCAGTGAATGGCATCCACACATAAGTTATGTCATACCTCACTTGACATATCAGCACAAATTCACTTTTTATCTTTGCTGAAAACTGCCAGGCTATCAGTGGAAAAATCTTTTAATTACCTACTTTTTTGAAAAGCCACTGTTACTCTCTTGTTTACTAGGTATTGTGACCCCTGATGAGCTTCATAGACAGTTAAGCGAGACATCTGGCTTCTACCTAAATGCTGAGTCAAGATCTTAACCTCTCCTAAGTAACTTCAGAAAGCACTTCAATTAAGAATTTCATAGATTAATGCAATCATTCTTTTAAAAATTAACCAAATTTACCATCTTACAGCTACGGAGGACAGAAGTCCCAGTGAGCTGAAGTAACAGCAACGGCAGAGCTGTGTTCCACTCTGAAATCCGCAATAGAGGATTTACTTCCATGCCTTCTCCAGTGTCTACACATCCCTCCCCACCAGGATCACGGTGCGGGCTTCCATCATCAAGACCAGCAACACTGCATCTCTCTGTCTCTTCCTCCATCTTTACCTCTTTCTCTGGGCACAGCTGTGGAAAGCTCCTGTGATCAATCATCTCTTTAACCATGCTTTATTCTGCAATGTGCTCTGGATGTTCACCTGCTTTCTCCTTCTGTCTCACTTTGGAATTGTCTCCTAGAAGCCTTAATAAATTATCAATAAATTTTGCATGGTATTTACTCTGTATTGTCTCATGATTATATTCTGTTCATTTGACAAGATACCTGCATGTCAGCAGATTTTTTGGTCATGTGTCACCTACACAGTAGGTCAAATGCCCAGTAGAGCACTGAAGGTTTTTCATCTGGCATAACTGATATTTAATGCCTGATGATTACCAACTCCCCAGTTCCTTCAAGCACAGCCTAGGGAAAGAACTGTTCTGTTCTCTCCTGACTTTGCTTTCACAAATACCTGAGTGGAATCCCGCAGCACTGGGCTTCTGCCACATTTTCTGCTCTCGCTTATTTGCTGATGAGCATTCTGGCTGCTCACACATCTGGCCTGTTGTTAATAGGCCTGGCACGAATATGGCAGTGCAAAAAATCGTTTCAAGGTTCTGTTCTCAGTTACTTTAGGACAGACACCCTGATATGCACCTGCAGTATCATGTGGTATTTCTGTTTTCAGTTTTTTAGGAACCTTCATTGTGTTTCCCTACCTGCACCACTTCCGGCTTCTCCACGTCCTTCTCAACATCTTTGTTCTTGGTTTTCTGATAGTAGATAGGCACACTGTTTCAATATTGCATTTATACTAAGGTCAAACAATGTAAAGTTTAGTGAAATCTTATTCAATAAAGGCAAGATGCATACTGTGCCCAGTAAATTAGGAACCAATGGAAACTGTCTCTCCCCTCTATAGAGCTGTCCTGCTCAGCTGCTTTTCTTACGCTGCACAGGCCCAAGTGCCCAGGGACGGCACTGCCGATGATGGACTGGATCTTCCTATGCCAATCAACAATCAAGAAAATGCCCCAACTGACATGCCCGCATGCCAGTCTGATGGAGGAAGTTCCTCAACTGAGGTTCCATCTTCCCAGGGAGCCTAGTTTGTGTAGTTTACAAAAACAAACAAAAAACACCACAGCATCCAATTGTCTTTTGAGGAAAGAACATTCACATTCAGAAAATACTCAGCAAGGCTACGGTCCACGAGGGTCCACGAGGGTCCACAATACGAATCTTAAAGTGATTCCCACTCTGGTAGTTGCCTTTGTACAAACTGGCTCTGCTCCTAGTTGAATTACTACAAGTTACATTTCAGAGATAACAAACTCCCTTAATTTACTATTTCTGTGCACACAAGTCCACAGCCCCATTGCTGATATTTCTGGTTTATAAGAGTCAATTTTTGTTTCAAAGTGAACAACTTTCCATCCTGGAGAAAGAATCCTTTTTGGCAAGCAGAGTTTTGTCTCAAACAAGACACATGTAGCCAATACTGTATGACTTTTCCTGGTGAGATGTGAAGAAACATCTATTCACTCCAGACAGGGACCTAACAGCAGACCAAAGACACAATCCACCCAAGTCTAGGTGGTGAACCAGTGAGTTTATTGGGGTTACTTACAGGAGCATGAAGGATTCAAAGGCAGCCACATCATGGAAAAGTCCTTCCTGACATGGATGAGGACTCCCAGCGTGGATGTGCACTCAGGAGAGCTGCATCCTTGGAGCACCATGAAGAGCTTGCAGGCAGTTTCCACACGATCTTTTCTCACACACAATTCTTACTGTTTGTATGACCTTGGGGAGGGAATCTTGTAACATTCAGAAGCTACCTAGACTGCTTTAGTTTTATTTATTTCCTAGATCTTGTAAGCCTCCCTCCTCTCCTCTTCCTCCTTCTCCTTCCTCCTCCCTCCAGGACAGACTGTTTGAGTTGTGAAAACTCAGCCACACAATTAAGACCTCCTCTGCCTTTAGCTAGCACGGTACCGAATGGAACTAGGCAAAACAGGTTTCTACCCTAAAGGACCCGCTATTCACCCTCAGACTCATTAACACGCTGTTGTAATACAGTACTCTGGCAAAGTTTCTGCCTGATAGTGTCATCTCTGTATAGCCACCTTACAACACAGATTCAAACAAGTCCATGTAAGCATTAAAGGCGAGGATAACCACCTCAAGGACAGACCTCAGTCCTGAAATATTCTCCTGAAAAGGTCAAGAAGAATATTTCTGCTGTTATCTAAACTCCTTCCCTTTCTCCACTGACCCATAAAAGACCCCCCACACTTTATTTGGCTGCTTGGCTAGGCTTTTCTTCCTTCTTTTCTCTGGATAAGAGCAAATCTTCTTACACAGCCCAATGGAATCTCCATTTTGTTATAAGAGCCAGGATTCCTAGATGAATAAAGGACCCCATTTGTCTCACAGGAATAACTCTTTCATTTCATTCCTTTATGACATACATTTTAGAGGAAGTTATGATTTTACCTACCCTTCCAATCCAAGTGTTCAGCTTTCTTTGGCAATGGGTAAGTTGATACTATCCTTGAGGAATGGGTTTACCTTCTATTCTTTGCACAACTAGAATGTGTTCACTTTGTGATATTCTCTCCTGTTGGAAATCCACAGTTAACATAGTTTTAAAATTAATGGCAAACTTAAAAATATTGTTAAATATGGCTGACAGAGATGACTCACAATTGGCAATTTATAGTTGCTGCCAGATGGAAAATCAGCATTCTTTAAGGGTGTGATGCTGGGTAGACTGACCAGACTCCAGGGTATGGGCCCACATATAAGAATATCTGGGGAACACAAATTAGACTCAGGAGGCCTTTAAAAACAATGGAGGACATGAAGTGGGGAGTAGGAGGTTGGAGTGGATCTGAGTAGAGATGGGGAGGGGGTCTGAATATGATCAGAATACATTGCATGAAATTCTCAAAGAAGCAGTAAGATATTTTTAAAAGAAGTGATTAAAGAAGAAAAAGATATTAAATATTTCTCCTCACAGACAAGTCAGATGCAGTCTTAAGTAATCATTATCCTTTCAGTAGAAAAGATCGATGTCAACTAATGAAAAAAAAAGCAGAAGAGAGAGAACAAAACAGAGATAAGAGAGCCAGAGAAGGGTCACTGCTGTGTAATGTACATTTTCCAGAGAGAGCATAGACTGTTCTCCAAAGTGATCGTGTCCTCACCTGTGCAGCAAGTCATAAAAATTTACAGAAGATGAACTATGTACTCACATCTCCATAAGGAACTTTAAAATGAAAGTGCAAATTAGAAACAAGCAAAGGGGCTAGATAGATAGCTCAGTGGTTAAGAGGATATGGCTTGCAGAGGACACGGCTACAGTTCCTGGCACACACACGGTGGCTCACAATTGTCTGTCTATAAGTCAGGTTTCAGAGAATCTGACACCCTCTTCTGACCTCCAAAGGCACTGCATGCACATGGTGCAAATACATACAAAATACTCATCTACATTTAAAAAATAATAATAAATCGCCAGGCATGGTGGTACGTGACTATACTAGCACTTGGGAGGGAGAGGCAGGCAGAGCTCTGTGAGTTCAAGGCCAGCTTGGTATATATAGGGAGTTCCAGGCCAGTCTCATGGCAAGTTTTACAGTTTTGTAAAATCATATGGAGATTGAAAAACACAACTGCGTGTTTGTGTACAATGTGTCTGTGTGTGCACACGTGTGAATGTAGGTGCACATGCCACAGTGTACATGTAGGGGCCAGAAGACAAGCTCAATTGTCAGTCCTCACTTTCGACCTTGTTTGAGACAGGGTCTTATCAGTCACCCCAAGCCTCTGGGGATTCTCCTGTCTCCAACCCCCATCTTATCTGAGGGATGCTGCGAATACAGAAGCATGTTACCAATGCTGGCCTTAGATAAGTTCAGGGATCTGAACTGAAGTCCTCACACTTGGAAGCTAAGTCCTTTGCCCATTGAGCCGTCTCCTCAGCACATCAACGCACATTTGAATCACCAGTGAGTCACTGAAGAAATCAAGAAGAAAGCTAAATCTTCAAAATTAAAATGTAAACATGATGTATCAGAATCTGAAGATCTAACAAGGAAATCCCTAGCTAGGAATGCTTATGTTAATAAATCAGAGTGATCTCAAGTGAAGAGCCTAAGAATGCCATCTTGTTAGAAAATAAGAACGACGCAACACAACACCGATAAAAGGAAAGGAGTTATTTTAAAAAGAGCAGAAATTAAGTAATAAAAGGAATATTAACAGCACAAAAATGCTGATAATTTTAAAATGTAAGCAGTAGGTCAAGGAGGGATAACCAATGCTGCTATTTGAAAATACTATATGGGAGCTTACTATTTTATAAGCTTCCTAAACGTGTATATTCATATACGTGTTTGGGGTTGCCCTACACAGGGGAAATTGCTCCTCCCAGAAACCATGGGTTCTCAAATAAAAAGCCCAGGGCCATGTGTGGGATACTTCCTGTTGAGTTGCTGGTCAGGGATACCCAGGAGGACCCCCCCTCAAAAAAAAGAATGCAGGTTTCTGTCACTGCTCTTGAATGCCCACCAGAAATTGATGATAAAACACTTGAGTCACAGGACATTAAGAAATCAGAGGGCTTTAAGTCCAGTTACATAACTGTTGATTATCCCCCCAGAAAACAATACCACTACTGCACCACTAGAGGCAGTTTACTGTGCCAGCTTTATGGTTATTAGGCTTTAGGGCTGGATTGGACCATTGATTGATTTTCTCCCTTAGCAGCTCACATAGTATCCTCTAGAACTATGAGAGCTAGTCTTCAGGGAGAAGGCTTCCAGGTAAGTTCCCGCTCCATTGCTCCAAGTCCTGTGTCCAAAGTATGTCCTTTCTTTAGGAGTATGGCCTTACCTCGAGTTCTGGGAGATAACCAAGGACTCCAGCAATAGCCTGGGTTATTTAGGGAGTCTCTTGGACTACTCTGACCAGCCACTCAAAGGGAGGTCTCACCTGCCTGGCACTGTGCTCCTTGCCCTACAGCCCCCAGGTATACACATGCACTAATGTTCAGACGCCGTATGTGTATTTCTCAAGGGGTTCCCAAGCCAACACATTTCCCTCTGGCTTCCCAAGTCACCCAAGCTCCATTCACCTCTCCTCTCTCTCCCCCTCTACAACCTTCCCCTCTGCAATTATAGCCAAATATATAAGGCCGGAGAGGTCATAGATCCTAGAGAAAACCCTATCTCTAGACAAATGAAATTTCTTACCATTTCCTAAATATAGATCCTTGTATTTATAGACAAGTATACTGTACACTGCTCATCAAAGAAGCTTCTTTTTGCAATAGTTGGAAGCTACTGCAGAGTTCTACAACTGGTCACACGCAGAGAATATATATCTAAATATACATCTAAGAGCTGCCCACCCCTAGGTGACATATCTGCAGTGGAACCTCTACACCTAAGGCTCATGGAAAACAGTGAAGCAGGGTGTGGAGAGAACACTGATGCACCCTTCAACTCTTACCAGCAAAGTGTCCTTATGCAATGGAGTGTGATGCCCACAGAGGCCACAACTGGCTGTTTTAGAGAATAAGAGACTGCAGAGTGTGTGTCCTTGGATAGGACTCCTATATTAAGCCTCACCCACCTATGGCCCAGGGACCATTGCAGAAGAAGAGCAGAAAGATTGTAAGAGCCAGAGTTGATCCATGAACATAGAGAAATAGAGGCTTTGAGGCCACTGGAAGCTTTGCACATGTGAACTTGTGGCAAGGGTGGCTTGGAGCACAAGAACCTAAAAACACTTTAAATTTTAGTCATCAAGTTAAATCGGTTATCATCTCAACTAACTTTGGGGGGACAGGGTCTCACTATGTATCCCTAGCTGGCCTGGAACTAACTATGTAGACCAGGTTAGCCTCAAACTCATAGAAATCCACCTGCCTCTGCCTCCCAAGAGCTGGCATTAAAGACATGCGCCACCATGTTCAGCACCGCTAATCTAAATTCAGTCACTGAAAGAAAAATAGAGGGAAAGAACCCTGAAAAAGAATGGGGGAAAAGGAACAAAACAGAGACAGAAGTAGAAGTAAAGAAGCCAGACAGACAGAGGGAGACAGGAAACATCATTGACTGGAGCCACCAGGTGAGCAATGGAGTCACCTGCCCGGCCTGGCTTGTCTGCATCTAAGGCAGTTACAGCAGACTGCAAGATGTTCCTGATGCTTCCTGTCCCTTACGAGAAAGGAAGTCAGGATCAGTGGTCACCCAGAGATCCATCCAGACTGTCTTACATTAATGGACTCCTGCCGCTTCGACCTACCTGCCCTGGTTCTCCTGTGCTGTGAAGCACATTGTAGCACATGTCTCATCCCTAACACCTTCGATACATCCAGGGTGCACAAGTGGAGCAGCTGGTTACACACAGAGAGGCCTGGACTGCACAGGATTCAGGTTTTTGTGAGTAAACAGACAGGAATGAAGCATTCAGTTCATGACTGTGAGCATAGTGTAATCATGCCCTTCTCTAGAGTCACTTACTAATCTAAAGATAGAAAAAGAAGAAAAGCTATAGGAGAAAACTACCCTGACCTTCCCAGAACAGCAGTACCTGCTACTTTACTGGATGATGGTCTGAGTGGCCGTGAAGATGTGATTCGCCTGTATGTCCCTGAAATTTTCTCCAAAATAAGAGCCAGACAAAACACTTCCAAAACATTCCTATTGGGTAAGAACTTCTTCCTCAATAAACACAAATTGAATATGGAAAATAATGTAAACAGAAAGGAGCTCTTTCTGATTGGTTCAAACCTTAAAGGTCTGATGTATAAAAGGCCCAGAATGGACAAAGGCTAACTATACTGTAGAAAACTCCCCTGTGAGCAGGACCCCGCCCTCCACACCTGACACCATGACCACCTCCTGCTGCTCCCCTTGCTGCCAGCCCACCTGCTGCAGAACCACCTGCTGCAGGACCAGCTTCCAACCAAGCTGTGTGACCAGCAGCTTCCGCACTCCCTGCTGCCAGCCCTGCTGCTGTGAGCCCAGCTGCTCCCAGTCCAAGTGCTGTATCTCCAGCTGCTGCCAACCCTGCTGCCAGCCCAGATGCTGTGTGTCCAGCTGCTGCCAGCCCTGCTGCCAGCCCAGCTGCTGCAGAACCACCTGCTGCAGAACCACCTGCTGGAAGCCAACCTGTGTGACCAGCTGCTGCCAGCCCTGCTGCATCCCCAGCTGCTGTAGCGCACCCTGCTGCATCCCCAGCTGCTGCCAGCCTTGCTGTCAAACCACCTGCTGCAGGACAAGCTTCCAACCAAGCTGTGTGACCAGCAGCTTCTGCACTCCCTGCTGCCAGCCCAGCTGCTGTGAGCCCAGCTGCTGCCAGCCCAGCTGCTGCCAGCCCTGCTGTCTCCCAAACTGCTGTGAAACCACCTGCTGCAAGACCACCTGTTGTAAACCAATATGTGAGTCCAGCTTCTGCTGCTGCCCAACTTGCTGCAAAACCACCTGCTGCAAGACCATTTGCTGTAAACCAACCTGTGTTACCAGCTGCTGTTACACACCCTGCTGCCAGCCTTGCTGTGAAACCACCTGCTGCAGGACCCCCTGCTCTAAGCCAAGTTGTGTGACCAGCTGCTGCAGCACACCCCGCTGCCCACCCTCCTGCTGCGTGCTCACTTGGGGCACACCCAGCTGCTGCTGAGCAGCTTCCCCCGTGACAACAGCTACATGACTTTTCTTTGTCATAGCTGACTTCCTGTAGCTGTACCAATTCTCATGTTACCATTCCTTTGCTGAAAGCCTTCAGGCTAGCACCTAAAAATCTGTCCGTCATCAATTTTATTTAAACATATGAGTCACCTTGAGGGAGTACAGAAGTTGTCACTCCCTTCTCTAGCTATTGTGTCAAATTCATAGATAGTTGACCTGTAGCTGTACCAATTCTCATGTTACCATTCCTAGCACCTAAAAATCTGTCCGTCATCAATTTCATTTAAACATATGAGTCACCTTGAGGGAGTACAGAAGTTGTCACTCCCTTCTCTAGCTATTGTGTCAAATTCATAGATAGTTGAGGTGAATTCCTGGACTGGGCTTAAACTCTAAGGTGATGTATTTACCAAAATATATACCAAATAATTTCAGAAAATACTGTCAATAAAAATCGCAAAGGTTGATGCAGTTGACCAGTCTGCATAGCCAGGGTTCTCTGAATTCTTTTGTGCTACTTTAACCTCATTGCTCACCTGTGAACAAACAGCCTTAATAAACTCTTAATAAATTCAGTGCCATTATTCAACCCATACAGTCTGTCTGTCATTATATTTTGTTAAGTCACTTGATATGGAACTACAAGCTCAATAGACTTCTAACCACACAATGTAATTCACATACGCTAGGCACAATGTTGCCCAGCAGACCTCTGAAAGCTTTTCATCTGGCATAAGTGAAATTTAACCCCCAGTGATTATTAATTCATTATATCCTTTTCCTTCAGCTCTGGAAGTCAATGTTTTGCTCCTTCTTTTTCTGACTTTGACTCTTACAAACCTTTATGCACTTCTGTATGGGCTTTGTTGATGGGCGTCTGGACTGTGCCCACATCTTGACAATTGTTAACAGGGCTAGCGTGAACCTGGGAGTTCTGCTATCGCCTCAAGAGTCTTAGTTCAATTACTTAAAATGAATATCCTGAAGCGCAGCTTCCATATCATAGAGCATTTTCCTTCACACTTGTTGGAAGAACCTCTGTAATGATTTCCCTACCTCCTGTACCATTTCACATACCTACCAATAAATAAAGGTTCAGTTTCTCCATATCGCTGTCAACACCTTCTTTCTTGTTTTAATGGCAATAGAAACAATCTTTAAACCTTGTAGTTATTCTAAAATTAAATTATATACCAAGTTTTAGTAACATCTCATGCAATCAGGGCCAAAAAGTTGTCCCACCTCTGCTTGTGCTGAGCTAGGAACTATGAATAGTGACAGGTTTGTTTTACCCACCCCAAACGTCCACGGTAGACTACTCAATATTTTAGTAGTACACACACATTTATTTTTAATAGTGCTCAATCACAGGGCTGAAGAGACGGCTCAGCAGTTGAGAGCACTTGCTACTCTTGCAGAGGACCTGGGTCCAGTTCTCAAGACACATATGGCAGCTAACAATTGTCCATATCTCCAGCTCCAAGGGATCCAACCCCCTCTTCTGGCCTCCATATGCATTGCACACATGGTACACTTACATACATGCAGACAAAACATTCATACACGTAAAACTTCTTAAAAGTCCTTAATCAAGGTATTGTATGCTGTACTAATCTGGAAGTCATTCACTCTCCTTGGGTTGCCTTTGAACACTTAGGCTCTGTTCCTACTTATATTACTGTTCAACTTTCCAAAGCCAGGCATTGTAGCACACACATATAATCCCAGCACTTGAAAGGCAGAGGCAGGCAGATCTCTTTGAGTTTGGGACCAGCTTGGTCTACATAGCGAGTTCCAGGTCATCAGGGGATGCATAGTGCAACCTTGTTTCAACACACACACACACACACACACACACACAAATAAATTAAAAATTAAAAAAACTTTCCAAAGAAAATCTAATCTCTTGATTTCTTGTTCAGGCACCTAAGCATCAATGGTGATTAGTTCTGATTTATAATTTTAAACTAATGCTGCAAGATAAATATGTTCTCAATCCTGAGAAACAATTCCTTTGGTAACCAAAGTTCTGCTTCTGTTTTGGACATAACACCTGTCTAGCTAGCCATGCAGACAGCCTGGACCTTGGCTGCTCCTGGGGAATAGGCTGTAGATGGGAATTTGTCAAAACAGTTTTCAGTCCTATAGGATACTGTACTGACCTGCTAGTCACCCTAGATTCATTATCATCTCATTGCACCACATTATAGTAGTACAATTCCTCTTCAACAGTATCATCTCAGTGTATTCTGCCTCTAGACCAGATCAAATCCTCTTGTACTAAGGATGAAAGGCATGGGGTGTGCATCTGAAGAACTGACGGGACCTCTTCCTTAAAAACTCAAGGAAAATATCCCTACTCTCCTAATGTTTAACATCCTTTCTTTCCCCTTACCCTCAAAGAATCCTCATCCTTTGAATGGGAGGCTGATTTGGTCACTACTTCTCTCTCCTCTGTATTCTCTTGCAAAAAAAATATATCCTTTCCCTCCTACAAGAAGGACCCGAGGAGGGTGGGAGTTCTCATACAGAGACAGGTACAGACTAGTTGGGATTTGGGCCAGCCACCAGCCACTTACTACAGATCATTACTACAGATAACATGACATCACATTCTCTCCCCAAGACACTTCCTGTATTGTTTACCTTTCTGTTGTTGTCATAAAACACCATGACTTCCCTGGTTGCCTCCTTTGATTGAAATGGAGATCTTTTTTAAAGATTAAAAAACTCAATCAATTTTGTGTCTTACAGGCCTTATACTGAGTTCAATATTGTATAATTGTATTAACTCAACTGTGAACCTAGAAAGTAGCACCCACTTGTGAAAAAGATATACTCATGCTCTGGAGTGTGTTACTGAACATGTTAAAGCTGTAGTGAAATGCTTTTTCTAATCATGTAGCTATTAAAAATTAAAAAATAATGACTAAAAAAACAAAATGAAACAAAACAAAAAAACCACCATGACCAAGACAACTTATAGAAGGAAGAATTTATTTGGCTTAATGGTGCTAGAGGGATAAGGATCCATCATGGTGAAGAAGCACAGCAGCAGACGCAGCCAGAGCAGAAAGCTGAACACTCATACCTCCAAGCACACGTAGGAAGCAGAGAGATATCAAACTGACATAGGACAAGGCTATGAACTCTCAAAACACACCCCCGTGACATGCTTACTCCAGCAAAGCTACATATACTCCTCATACGTTCCCAAATAGCACTACCAACTGAGTACAAGTATTCAAATAGTTGGAGCCTATGTGGGACATTTTCATCCACACTACCACATTCCACTCCCTGGCCTCATAGGCTCAAGATGTTCCAGAGGAAAATGGAAGCAAGAACTTCAACAGCAAATGGGATATTTTGGCAAAGAATCTGGTTGCCATCTACCCAAGGCCAAAGAAATTACCTGAAGCTAAATTAAAAAGTAATGAGCTAATTTCTTTGGCAGAGGACACTTTAAGACAGCTTGATGTTCAATCTGCAACATAGTTGTTTATGGTGAATATTATGAAGATCTATAATTGTACAAGTAGAACAGACAGAAATACAAAATGTACAATTTAGAGACAAGATGAGCACCAAAAAGCTTAATGCTGTGGCCAAGGCAACCAAGGTGGATCCTGAAAGAGAGGCTCTTTTTGTTAAGAAGATTGGCACCATTCAGAAGAGACCCCCTATTCTACTGAACAATGGAAAAAGTACCCACAGGGAAAAACTTTGCCTAGTTAACCTTCCAACTTGTGAGAGGAAAAAGTCTAAGGAGACTTCTGCTCATAGAAAATGCAATGTACAAAAACTGCTGATAATGTGGATAAAGGGAGTCAAGGTCTCCACTCCAAGCTGCAGCCTGACTCGGCAGGTCATTCAGGTGGTGCTGTACGCTTTAGAGGCATGAAAGATGCAATAGTAAGAGGGCCGTCATTCCTTCCTCACAGTTTTGGAGAGCTGTGGCAATGGCAGGGGAGTCTCTGTGAGAAGGTCATGATAAGCCCAGAGGCCCTCAGAGGACATTGCATAAAGCTGTGAAGATGAAGCCTAGGTTGTGGTGGAAACCCTAAGGTTTTGGAGATGCCAGAGCCATGAGACGTCTGCCAAGGATAGCTGTATATTCAGAGCAAATGTATGTTTCATGCTGGAAAGCTGGAGGAGCAGAACCATCTACCCCTTTGGAAATAAAGTCCCAGACATCAGACACAGAGCTATAAGATTCAGTGTTTGGTGCCCTGATGGTTTTCGATCTTGTTTTGGTCTGGTATTTCCTCACTACTCCTTGCTTCCTCCTTTTTAGAATGGGAATATGTATTCTGTGTCATTGTATGTTGGAAGTATTCAATTTGCTTTTAGATTTTTCAGGGGTTACAATTAAGATAGTGCCTTAAGTTTCAGAAGAGACTTTGAACTTTTGAATAGTGCTGCAACTGTGGAAGTCTATGGGATATTGAAAGCTGTACTAAATGCATTTTGCATTATGATATCACCATGGGCCAATGGAGGCCAGGGAGTGGAATGTGGTGGTTTGAATGAGTTGCCCGCCCCATAGGCTGGGAGTCTTTGAATACTCGGCCCCAGTTTGTTGTACTGTTTGTGAGGTTTAGGAGATGTGGTCTTACAGAAGGAAACACATCACTGGGGGCAGCTTTGAGAGGGCATTACCTTGCCCACTTCTGGTTTGCCATCTCTTCCTGCCTGAAGATATGAGTTCTCAAATTTCTGTTCCGGCTGCCTCCTGCCATGTCTTCCCATCATGATGGACTCTTTGCCCTCAGGAATCTTAAGCCCGATAAACTCTTCCTTCTATAAATTGTCTCAGCCATGTTTTTTTTAATCACAGCAGCAGGAAAGTGCTAGTATACATTTCTTGATGTCTGTACAAGCGATGATCAACACTGTAGGGTTACAAGAACCCTGGCCCTCCAGGAAACAGGAGCCACCACATTACCACATGATGATTAGAGCATGGATGATGCAGGTGAACTGGCTATTTTATCTTAAAAAATATTCTCAGAGTTATTCCTAACTAAAAGCGGATTAAAAGTTGGCATGTCCATGCAGCACTTGGGAGATAGAAGCAGGAGGATCAGAAATTCAAGGTCAGCCTTAGCCAATTAGTCATTTCAAGACCATCCTGGCCTACCTAAGACCATTTTGAAAAAAAAAAAAAAAAAAAGCAAATTAAACACTTACCTTTCAGAAGACTTGTAATGTTTATGTAATAATGAAAAAGAACCTTGAAAAAACATATTGTATAAATGATACAATTACATAAGCAATAATGAGGAAAAGTTCTGTCATTTTTTTTCCAAATATGAAATTTCAGAATCTGAAATTCCCAAGTTGGAAGAAGTCATCATATTCTGAAAAGCCGGCCAATAAACAGAAGTTGACAATACACTCCTAGCAGAATGATCCATTCCTGCATAAAAATAAATAGTACACCAATGGACTGCAAAGGAGGGCAGGGAATGAGCTCCTGTATCTACAGTCAGCTGATTCCTGACCCAAGTGCCAATGATTAATGTTGGAGAAAAGATAGCCTCTTAAAAAAATGAGTAAGACTTCAATAGCAGGAATAAGCCAGAAGGGCCAAGTGGGATTTCATCATATTAGGTAAGCCCTGTGTAGATGGAGAAACTGTCACCAAAGTGAAGAGTCAGCCTATGGGATGGGAGCAAAGCTTGCCAACTTGTCATCCAACAAGGGATTACTATCCAGAATATGAAGAGAATTTTACAAAGCTAAAATACAAAGGAAAAGTAATCCAATTAATAGTCAAATTATTTGAAGATATTTTTAAAAACAAAAAAGATACAAATGGCAAAAGAAAAAATCTTCAACATCATTAGTTATCAGGAAATGCAAATCCAAGCCATTGAAATTCTACCCCACTCTACTCAGATTGGCTGTCATCAAGAAAACAAACAACAAATGCTGATGAGGATATGGGGGAGAGGAACCTTTTTATGCACTGTTGATGGAAATGTAAATCAGCACAATTCAGATGGAAATTAGCTTGGAGTTTCTTTTAAAAACTAATCATTAGAGACAGAGGGAGCTTATTGCTGAAGGCACTGCTTGATGTGAGCACAGGGAGGGAGAAATCAAGATTGGACTAAATTGGAAACTCCCTGCCACTGGATGGGTGCCTTTCATGGTGCCAAGAAGCAATATGCACATGACTGGGGAAGAATTGTCCCCTATAATTCTGCTCAACACCAGGCCCCACATGTTGCACTATCAACATACCAAACAAGATGTTCCTGCTGGTACAATAGTGGAGTGTCTAGTGTATGTACAACCAGAAAATTTTAGTTTGGATATAATGCCTACTCCTAGAGGTGGAACACACATCTGGTACTGTAGACCAGACCAACTCCCTGTGGCAGGGGAGAATATAGGCCCCCGTGGGAAGCCACTGCAATTGTTTTGTTAGATGGATGTGTTGAACCTGTTAAAGTACCTTCCAAGCATTTGTGTTTATACCCATAGGTTAAGTTATTATAGCAGCTGCTTTTTAGATGTTCTTGCTTCTTGCTGTTTGTGTTTTTATAGTAGAAATCCCACTGAAATGGGCCAACAGCCCATGGAAAACTGATGATGCAGAGACCCGAAAGTTCAGTGCCTTGCCACAATAGGAAGAAGATGATCCCACACCTACCACCCCCTCCAAAGCTCAGGGACTTTTATGGAAGAAGTTGGTGGAAAGAATGTAAGAGCCAGAGGAAGGGGTACAGTGTTAACTGAAAGTGTATTCTGACCACTATGCAGACAAGCTGTAGCAAGCTGTAGTCACACCTCCTTCCCATACTCATTAAGGAATTGAGGGGGGAGTCAGTTACCCCTCCCACCCAATCAGTCGACCTTAGCTGCATGTGGGGGAGGGGCTAAGGATATATAACCTGAGAATGTCAGGAGGCACCTCTCTCACCATTCTATGCAGCTGTCAGGAAGTCACAAGATCTATATTTGAATGTGGACTTTCCAGTGGGAGGTACCCACTCCTCTGTAAATAAACCCCCACCCTATGCTCTGTTAAAAAAAAAAAAAAAGGAAAATGCTAAGTGTTTGGATAGATAGATAAGAGAAATCTGACTAGATCACAAGTGGATGGACTTGCACTGGGGAACATCTGGGGACACTAACTTGACACAGTGGGCCTTAACACCCAGGACAGAGTATATAGGTTCTATGGGGGGGAGCTATGGGAGGGTACTGGTGGGGATGAGGCTATAAAGATGATTTAGATTGTTTGAGATATTCTGTATGAAATACAACAAAATTTAATTTTAAAAAATCTGATCATTAGAACTACCGTATGATCCAGCTAAACCACTCTTTAGTATATTCCCCAAAGATGCAGCCTATTTTTCCATCATAAGGAAAAACAAAATTATGTCTTTTCATAAAAATGAACGAACCAGAGATTATGACATTAAGTGAAATAAGTCAGACTTATGAAGACAAGTGTCATGAGCTTCTCTCATATATGGAATGGGAATGGATGGGGTGGGAATGGAGAGGGGAAATGGACTTTATCATAGAGTAGTAGGAAGATTTGGGAAGAGAAAGCAAGGAGGAGGTCATGGCAAGAGAGGGAAATCAGGAGTGAGGATACCAAAGTGTGTATACACATGTATAAAATGCCATGTTAAATATGTTATGAGCAGAATTGATATATGCTACACAAGTTAAATATTTCCTGTATTTCAGAAGAAATAAAAAGTAAAGTTTTACATTAGAGCACATATAGTCCAATAAAAAATATATTTGAGACTAAATCTAGAGAAAGATAGACAAGATTTCTGCAGACAGAAGCATAAATGTCCCACAGGGCAATTTCTTCAACAATTTCCTACCTAGTTGCATTCAGCATAAATGCTTAAAACAAAAACATTTCTATAACTTCATTTTTAATGGGCCCAAACTAAAAACAACCTGTTTTACTTTCTAGAGAAAATTCAACAAATGCACTGTGTCAAAGTTATTCAGAGAAGATCACCCAGCAACGAGAGTGAACGTATTACAGACAGTGCTGGTGAAGATTTTCACAGTCATCCTGTGAGCAGACAGTTTCATTCTCTGATCTGCAAAGCTGCAGAGAGAACAGAAGCATATCCTGGTGGAAGACAGGCCCTGAGGGCAGTGATCAGAGCCCTTTGGGAATGAGCAAGAAGAAACCGCTTATAGGGGTTGAGGTTGATTTGTACTTCCTTGCGAAGAATGTATGGATATGCTCACTTTTAATATTTGGTCAAATGGGAAATTAATGATTTATATATGTTAATGTGAACAATAGGCACTCCCCCCCAAAACAATCCCAATCCTCATGTCTAAATTAGGTATATCTCAACTAATCTCATTTAATAGAAAGAAAAGAAAGAAAGTGAAGGAGGTAGAGAGAAAGAACTAAACAGAGAGACAGAGACAGAGACAGAGAATTAAAGAAAGTCAGGCAGTTGGAAAGAAAATTGAGAGAAAGACTGCAGCTCCAGTACCCAGGTGAGCCCTGCTGTCACCTGTTCACCACGGTTTGTCTAGATCTAAGGCAAAAAGAGCCCCTTGTGAGCTCCCCAGTAGTAAATCAGGACCAGTGTTCACCACACAGCCATTGAGGCCCTTTATTCCCATCGTATTGTTTCTTATTATACCCTGGCTCTGCTATGAAACATATTATGACTGACATTCTCATTCCAAAGTACTTTTGATACCCCGAGTCATGCAGTTAGAGGAATTTATACAGAGGCAGATGCCCAGGCCAATTTGGAGTCAGGCTTTTTGGACAAACAGAAAAAGATATAGGAATTAAATTTGCACTGTAAATACAGTGCAATCACACCCCCTCCAGAGACACTTCCAAATCTAAGTACAAAGAAAGAAAGCTCTAAAAAAATTACCCTGATCTTCCCAGATAGGCAGGCATTATCATGTGACAAGATGATGATGAGAGATACAGAAAGCTGATGGTATGAACCACTGCTTTTATTTTTAAAAGCTCAATAAGTTATTCCTCAGTACAAAACATAAAACATGTTCAAAGATTCATAACATTAGGTGAAATTTCTTCCTTGATAAACACAAATTAAATATGGAAAACAATGTAAACTAAAAGTCTTTCTGATTGGTTCAAATCTTGGAGACCTGAAGTATAAAAGGCCCAGAATGGAAGAACTCAACTATAGTGTAGAAAACTCCCCTGTGAGCAGGACCCGGCCCTCCACACCTGACACTATGACCACCTCCTGCTGCTCCCCTTGCTGCCAGCCCACCTGCTGCAGAATCACCTGCTGCAGAACCACCTGCTGGAAGCCAACCTGTGTGACCAGCTGCTGTTACCCACCATGCTGCCAGCCCTGCTGTCCCCCAAACTGCTGTGAAACCACCTGCTGCAGGACCACCTGCTGTAAACCAGCCTGTGTGACCAGCTGCTGTGGGTCCAGCTACTCTAAGTCCACCTGCTGTGACCAAATCAGCACAGTCAGCAGCTGCTGCCAACCAACTTGCTGTGAAACCACCTGCTGCAAACCAGCCTGTGTGCCCACCTGCTGCTGCTGCTGCTGCACACCCTGTTGCTGTGTGTCCAGCGGCTGCCAGCCCTGCTGCATCCCCTGCTGCTGCTGCACACCCTGCTGCCAACCAACCTGCTGTGAAACCACCTGCTTTAAACCAAGCTGTGTGACCCTCTGCTGCAGCACACCCTGCTGCCCGCCCTGCTGCTGATGACCAACTCACATAAACATCTGCACAAGCCTTCTCTCTGGATAACTGACCTGCCACACCTGCACAAATTCATAACTTAAACCTTGCTGAAAACCTTCATGATCTCTCCAGAAAATGTGACAGCTTTCGTTTCTTATTTAAATATGTGAACTGCTTTGAGGAAGCGTAGAGCTCCATATCTCTCCTCTAGGGATTATGGATCTTATGGCATCTTCAAGGACTGTTGATATAGTGACTTGGCATCTGTTCAAATTCTCAGCCAAGATCTTTCTATCTTCCACCAAATAACTTAAGTAAACACTCCCCCCACCCCAAATTCCACATCTTGCTGCAGCCAATCAGTTATCTTCTTAATTATATTTCTTTCTACAGTTACACCAGATTCTTGTGTCCTTTTTTTCCTTCTGCTCACTTTTGTGTTGTAGCCCTAGAAGCAAGCAACCTTAATAAAATCTGTGCTGTTATTCATTCCACACTGTCTGTCATTAGACTTTGACAACTTGCTTAATGGAAAATTTACATGATCAATAGATTTTTAAATCTACAATGAGATGTCATCATATCACACACACTAAGCACAATGTTGTCCAGCAGATTTCTGAAAGGTTTTCAGCAGACATAACTGAAATTGAATACCCAATGACTAGCAGTTTCCTAGCATGGTCAACATCAGAGCCTGTAAACAGTCTGTTCTTTCCTTTTCTGACTTTGACTTTTGTAAACATCCTGTGGATAGAATCATAGAGCAATGATATTTATGTCACATTTTCTTTATTCATTTATTTGTTGATGGGCATCTAGGCTGCACCAACATCTCATTTATTTTTAATAAGACTAGCATGAACATGGAAGTGCCAGTATCTCTCCAAGATTCTGAATTCACTTGCGTCATTTGCCAGGAAATGGATGCAAATGGAGATCTTCATGTTAAGAAAAAACATGTCAGCCAGGTATGACGGCACACACCTTTAATTCCAGCATTTAGGAGGCAGAGGCAGGTGGATCTCTGTGATACTAAGGCCAGCAGCCTGGTCTACATAATGAGTTCCAGGCCAGCTGGGGCTACATGGAGACCCCATCTCAAAAAAAAAAAAAAAAAGAGGAGGAGGAAGATGCCGGGGTTTCAAACCAGCGACCCCTGGGGAGGTGATAATTGGGGATGAGTAAGCACACCTTTCACCAGCTCACACCGCCCCCATTACCCGGGGACACTCAGACTCAACAGGGAGCCTAGTCAAGCAGGGACTCATTTATTGCAGGTGTTACAAAGCTTATAAAGGCACCTGGAACTCCCCCCTCCCCCGTCGAGGGTGTATCTTAAGGATGGTCACGTGCTGATCATGCACTCCTCAGCAGTGCAGAAGTATTCTTCAGACTTTCAAAGCAAGTCAAGCCGTGCCCCAGTAACTTCCTTTCAGACCTATGCAAGGTGGGGCCTTTAGGTCCCCACAAAACACAACAGGGCAGTTGCACATACAAACTCATGGTGGTTGGGGCCTTTCAAGGCCTGTGCAAGCTCAATCCAGCCTGGAGGATGGAGCTGGTCTCAAAGCCCCAGCCCTGAGGAGCTGCCGGGAACTCATGGCTGCTGGGAGAGGGCTGATCAGTTTTCTGTAATCACTGGATCATGCACCTGGCCATGTGCATGTCCTGTCTTAGGAGTACTTGTCATGGGACATCTTACCCATCTTTGGCTAAAAATGCATCATGACTAAGGGCAGCTGTGTGGGTAATGCTAGCCCATGACAGTCTTGGTCTCTGCCTAACTCAGTTAGCCAAGCGTGGGCAACCGGAGGGGGTCCTGTGGGAGTCTGTAATCATGAGGAGGTGGGCCCTGGCAGTTCCAAGGGTCCTCTGTCAACAAATTATCTGGTAAAGACACTTAAAGATAAGCATTATCAAAAGAAACAAAGCAAGTCATGGCATAGGACAAGTTGAAATACTTCTGGGACCATGTACCTTTTAGCCAATCAGCCAGTTGTCAACGGGGCAGCAATGAAGCCAAGGAACTGAGTCCTTTACCTCAGATGGATACAAATAAAGAGAGGAATTTTGTCTCATGAACTATTGTCCATGGACCATCATGCTAGTCAGTCAGATCCTGGCCTACCCACTTAAGGTTTTTCACAGGCACCCATATGGGGTTTGAATCTCCTGTAAGGTAGACACACCCAAAGCCTCGACCCATGGTTAGCAATGGATCTGGTCCTTTCCATTGCCCAGTGATGGGATCCTTCCATCTTACCTGTACCTCGGGTCTCTGCTCCTGTCGTCCCCAATGCTTTTGAAACTGGATTCCAACTGATTTTTTTGAAAATTAAGAATATTAATATGGCCATACCCAACAGTTGGTGGGGGCTTATTCCCCTTTTTGTTTTTGTAATTGAATTTTTAGGTTTTGATGGTTGCATTCTACAATGGCTTGACCTTGGGAATTGTAGGGAATTCCTGTATTGTGTTGAATTCCCCAAAGTGAAAACAATCCTTGTAAATTTGTACTCACAAAACACGGTCTATTATCAGTTTTAATTCTTTGGGGCAGTCCCAACGTAGCAAAGCACTGGAGAAAATGAGACTGAGCATGTTTAGACTTCTCTCCTGTATGAGCGGTAGCCCAAGAGTCATGTGAGAATGTTTCAATGTACAATGGACACAAAAATATGCTTACGCTTTCCAAAAGGAGCATAGTGTGTGACATCTGTTTGCCACAAGGAATTGGGCTTGAGTACTCTGGGATTTACCCCTGGCTGTTACAGAGGCAGTACCTGTACACAATAAACCATCTTGTCTGCCTCTGCATTGCCTTGGGATAAAAGCCCAGGCAATCTTTGGTGCCCCTAAGAAGCTGTAAGAAAATAAGGGCTTCTCTCTCTTTAAGGAGCTCATGAGCCTGAATACTGTCAGAAAACAATGGCCCTGAGTTCCTTGAATTGAGCTGCTTTTTGGTTTCTCCACATCTGCCCCAGTCAGTGAAAATATTGTAGGCTTTACTAAGGGCTCCCTGGGCCCAGGATTTGGTGAGTGCTGCTGCCGGCGAGGCCTGTAGAACTCAGGGGCGGGGTGGTTCCCTGGCCACCCTGGAACTGAAGGGGCAGGGCCCCTCCCTAAGCCACCTTCCCCCTGGCCTTTTCAGCTGTCCCAGAGCCGGTTGCCGGCACACAGCCAAAGGTCTTTGTTTTTTTGTTTGTTTTTTAAATGCCCCCAGCGGCTGCTGCCACCGGTCCCACCCAGCTTTCGAGCAGGCCCCTGCCCCATTCACATGTTAATTCAAGGTGGGTGGGGTGGGCAGCTTTTGCCATGGACCCCAGGCACTCCACCCCGCCCTTCTGCCCTGGAGGCTCCGAAGCTGGCCAGGGCACGCGGGAGGCGCTGCTTGTTACTTTGGCCACTTTTGGTTTCACTTCTGTTGCATTTCTGCCTTCTTCCTCAAACTCTTCCCATGAATCCCAAGTATCCCCAGTAAAAACATTAGCCCCTAGTAGCCAGGGAGCCAAATGAATCACCTCTGCCCAAATCTTTTTAGCTCTGACAAATTCAATCCCCTGCTTTTAAGTATATCTCTCAGCGCTTTAAGTGCCAGGTCTTCAAACTTAAAATTTGCATTACCCATATTTAGGGTCTTGATTACCCTGAACTTCCTATGATTGGCCCCAATCCATTTCCCTTCTTTATTTCTTCTTTCTTTTCCTCTTTTCACCTTCTTTAGTGCGCCAGGTTGAGCGCCAGTTGCCAGGGGTTCGAACCAATGACCCCCGGGGAGGTGATGATTGGGGATGAGTAAGCACACCATTCGCCAGCCCACGCCGACCCCATTAACCGGGGGACACTCAGACACAGGGAGCCTAGACAAGCAGGGACTCATTTATTTCAGGTATTACAGAGCTTATAAAGGCATCTGGAACTCCCCCTTCCCCCCCCCCAGGGTGTTTCTTAAGGATGGTCATGCACTGATCATGCAGTCCTCAGCAGTGTGGAAGTATTCTTCAGACTTTCAAAGCAAGCCAGGCCACGCCCCCAGTAACTTCCTTTCGGACCTATGCAAGGTAGAGCCTTTAGGTCCCCACAGGAAGAAAAGGAGGAGGAGGAGCAGGAGGAGGAGGAGGAAGGGAAGGGGAGGGGGAGGGGGAGGAGGAGGAAGAGGAAGAGGAAGAGGAGGACGCAGGGAGTAACTGCCCTGTTATACCTCCTCCTTTTCTGGCCCAAGCTACCTTTAGCCAAACTAAGAACTAAAAATTATCAAATGTGTTCTCTCACTTTTTAATCCTAGACTTTATATAGAAACACAAAATCATATATGCATATATGCATGAATATGTATATGAATATATGTGTATGGTCATATTGTTATACTAAGTGAAGTAACATGGACTCAGAAAAACAAAAGATGTATGTTCTCCCTCATCTGTGGATCCTAGCACTAAATCCTTATAAATGAGTGCATATCCTGATGCAACTTCAGGGACCAGGAATATGGAAGGAAGACACGGAAGTAACGTGTGTATACTTTATATGTATATGCATGAATATGGGTACGAATTTATGTGTATGGTAGTATGTGTATATGCTTTATATGTGCATGAATATATGTGTATGGATATATGTATATGAAAGACAAAGTGAGATTGTCTGTGGGAAGGAAGGGGACTAAGTCATGAGGGAGAAAGAAGAGGATATAAATGAACAAAATATCATCAAAGTACATTATACACTTAAAAGAAAATGACTTTATAAAACTCCTTACTGTTTATAATTAATGTACACAGATTAAAAAAATAAAAAATTTTTAAATATTCTGATTTCAATTAATTTGGACAAATACGCTGAAGTCCAGTGACCGGGTCACATGGCTTCTGGTTTAAATTTTTTGACGAGCCTCCATGATGTTTTCCATACTTGCTGCTCAGTTCATGGTCCTCTCATTGTATAAAGGTTCAACTTTCTTCATACCCTTTCACACCTTTGTCTCTTTCTTTTTCTGATATGGACAATATTCTAATATT